TGGACGCCAGCACAACCGTGCGCACCCAGCTCCTCAAGCTCCTCCGCACCCTGCCCCCAAGCGACGTGGAAGACCACGTCGCCAGCCTCATGCCGTACGTGCGCGCCGGCATGACGCATCTGGCCGCCGACATCCGCGTCACGGCCGTGGACGTCCTCTCCTGGCTAGTGGAGATTGCCGGAGAAGCCGTGGTGTCGTGCGCAGGCGGCTGGATCAAGACGCTGAATTGCTTCCTCTCTGTGCTGGGATGGCATACCGAGGAGAGCTCTAAGTGGTCGAGTAATCGGGCCGCGTTTGGGAAGGCCGGCGCGAAGGGGAAGCCCATGGTGAAGGTTTTGGGGGTGTTGGCGGAGTTTTTGGAGGCTGGGATTGGGGAGGATGGTGATGATGGGATGGAGGTGGATGGTGAGGGTGAGGGTGACAGTGGGACTGGTGGTGGGTTCCCGATTGTGCAGACGGATGTGCATATGGTGCCCAAGTCGGCGCAGCCGTATGTGTATTTGAATTTGTTTGGTGCGCCGAGAGATGAGGAAGGGGAAATGTATGAGACGAGGGAGGAGAGGTTCCGGGTGTTTAAGGGACGGTTTTTGGTTCCTGTTGAGCGTGGGTTGGAGAGTGCGAGGCAGGATGGCGGGGAGGTTGGGCGTGCTTCGTCGGCTGTGAGTAAGGTGTTGAAGGAGGCCAGGGGGGCGGATTGGGAGGGTTGATTGAATTGCTGTTTCATGTTGTGTTGTGTTGTGTTGCTACGGCGTTTGGTACTGGGTTTTGTCGTTTATAATGTGTGATATGGTGCATTGTTATAGATTTGTTATATTGCTGGCTATATGCTTCAAAAGTATTATACCTTGGCCTTCTCGTGCATGTTGTCCAACTTTTCTTCGGATTCGCCGTCAACTTCCCGTCCGTCGTAGATTTCTTCGGCCATCACGGCCCTGTCGATAATAGCATGTCGGGCAGGGAACAACCACGATAACCCTACATACACTACGCTGGTTCCCACGAACCCCAGCAGCCATCCAAACTGATACGGGTGGATACCCACGCCAACAGAGACACTGCTGTTGACAGAGTTGATCAGTCCTGGCAGACTCGGCACCACGCCGACAATAAACGCCACAATGGCACGCCAGTTCACGCCCCATTTCGAGTATCGATACACCGGATTGTTTGGCTGGTACAGAGCCAGGGTGTCGTACTTTCCATGCTTCAGCAGCCAAAAGTCCCATAGCATGATAGCTGCAATCGGTCCCAGGAAGATGGCATACGCTGACATGAAGTTCAGGAAGCTGTCCGCCGACTCAAGGATCTTCCATGGCACTAGAGCCCATGATAGAATACCGCAGATGATCTGGCCTCGGCGCAAATTGACGTGTCCTGGAAACAAGGCCATCAGATCGTTGGCTGCTGAGATCGAGTTGGCGGAGATGTTGACACCCAGAGAAGCCAGAGCGAATGAGAATGCTGCGAAAAAGCGACATGCCCGGCTGGACCAGTGGCTGATTAGCTCGATTGGGTCCCATGGGACTGATCCGCCATATCTGGCGTAGCCAGCTGAGGAGGCGGCAATGCCGATGAATGAGATGAATGTAAACACGATAGGCAGCATCGGGACGTAGAGAAGCTGCCACTTTGCCGTAACACGCGAGTATCGAGAAAAGTCGGACTGATTCACACTAAGAGTGGCATAGTTCCCCAGAACCGATGTCATGCTCGCCAAGAACACCCAGCTGTACTGTGACCCCGAGACAGTCGCTTTCTGCTCGAACATTGCACCTCCTCCCTCTGCCACGAACGCCCAGATCAAAATCGCAATCCATGCGATCGGCACAAGCACGGACTTGACCACAAACAGCCACCGCACTTTGTTCGGGTGGATGCAGAGAAACGGAAGTTGAAACAGCCAAAAGATGAAGTATCCGACCATGCCATTCGTTGTAATGCCCTGATTCTCAGGTATTTCGTTCTCCACCCTTAGGAAACTAGGCCAGATGGCTCCAATCATTGCACGAACGGCGTTTCCGCCGTTGACGTTCTGAATCGCGAACCAGAACAGTGCCAAAATGACTCGAGAAACAATGGCGACGTATGATCCCCAGAATCCCCAGCTAGCCCGCGAGATCACCGGGAACGGAATGTGATAGATCGCACCGACAGCACCGTTGCCCGCGATGACGAAAGACATGATGAAGAACGAAATCGCGACGATTATGAGTGATTCGCGCCAGCTAAGGCCGACTGCTATTATACTGCTAGCAAACTGCCATGTAGCTGCATTAAAGGCGTCGGAGACCCAATACGCTGTACATCCGTCAGCACAGCAGGAGTAACAAAAACAGGGGTCGTACAGATAAAGCTGAGCGGTCCCCATTGTCGACGATGAAAAGGAACCGGATCGAGATCGAGATTGGTCCAGCGAGCACTTCCATCCGCAAAAGCAGAGCGCGACTGCGGCACTCGAAGCTGAGGCCGTCTGAACTTCATGATTAGGTATGGTGCCGCCGAGATGCGGTAGATGAAGTGGATAGAGGTTCAAGTCATCCGATACAGAGGCGCGGGAGCGAAAAAGCAATATGGTAGATCGATGTAAGGGATACGGTCGCACAAGCTGCGCTGTCTAAATGCTGGAGAAAGAAAGCTGCAGGCTGACAATCACGATCTGCAGCCCATTAGGTCCAGCCAGATAAGCTGGTGCATGATAAGCATCCCTGCTGCGATAGCCACTACCCTACTATTGGATGCGTCGCCGAACAGACTATCTGCCTAGACTCGATAAGACATGAATAGCGGGGTGCTCGAGAAGATGCCATCTTTGTCTGATAAGTGGTATAGAATCACGCAAAGTAAGAGGCCTCCCACCTGACGTCAGGCACTGGCTCAACCGACAGCTTCTGCGATCGAACCGTGGTTCAGGGTGCATGGAACGTGAGATCGGCTCGCTGCGGTATGCAGATAGAGCTACCAGGCGGTTTTGTATTAGACATAATGATTCATCGAGTTTCTTGGTTTGCAAATCGGGGATTTGTCTTTATTCTGCTTCATCTTGGGTGTGATTGTGCCGCTTGCGTTGTCTCCGTCTCCATGAGTGCTGCAGTCTATAATCATGTTTGTTAGCAGGCAGCAGAGAGGAATGAAGATGGTTCAAAGATTAACTCCCTTACTAGATAGGATGTTGCTGAGTACTCGGACGCGCCCGAAGTTGCGATAAAGCTAAGAATGGGGCGAGTGGAGATGCCAGTTTACCCCTCTCGCTGCCATTCCCCTCAGGCTGCCACGAGGCATCTCGGTTCATCCCATAACAACATCAATTTTGGTCAACTGCATCACCTACCAACTGTACCACTCAACATGTCTTTCAACATCTCGCAGGCTCGTTCTCGCTTCCCCGCCTTGAACCAGGAGCAGATTTTCCTGGACAATGCAGGTCGGTTACATCCTACCCACCAGTATCGAAAACGGGGAATTACTAACAGCATATAGGAGGCAGCCAGGTGTTGGACACAGTGATCGAATCGTATGTCCCCCGGCTGTTCGCTGTTAGCAAAACCTTCTAACCAAGTACAGTGTGACATCATATCTCTCGAAGACCAACGTTCAATTGGGCGCAACCTACAATACTTCCAAGGTCTCAACTGCCGCTTACGATCATGGCTACAAAGCCGCAGCAAAATTCATAAATGCGAAGCCTGAGGAGGTATGCAAATTCTATTCATCAATGTGCAATGCTAATTCGTGTAGATCTGCCTGGGTGTCTCAACAACGCAGCTCCTACACAACCTCTCCACAGCTCTAGACTTCCAACCAGGAGACGAGCTGATCGTGTCCAAGCTGAACCATGAGGCTAATTCTGCCCCGTGGGATAGGATCGCGCGTCGTTTGGGGCTTACAGTCAAGTGGTGGGGGGCTTCAGACCCTCTGAATCCCGTTTGCGATCCTTCTGAGTTGAAGCAGCTGATGTCGGAAAAGACCAGGCTTGTCGCCTGTCCCCATGCTTCCAATATCACAGGGTCCATCACGAACGTAAAGGAGGTTGCCAAGGTTGTGCATCAAGCTCCTAGGGTATGTCGTTCCCGCATATACTCGATCATAATCTCATAATACATAGGCTCTCCTTTGCGTTGACGGTGTCGCGCTTGCTCCACACCGCCAAGTCGACGTCAAGGATCTCGATGTCGACTTCTACGTGAGTAAAACTAGAGCGTAGGCAAACAGTGATCTAACAGCGACAGGCATTCTCATGGTACAAAGTGTATGGTCCTCACATCGCCCAGCTGTATGCCTCGTCGCGAATCCATGACCAGATAAATCCGCTGTGCCATTACTTCAAATCCACGGAAACCCTCGACCTCAGGCTGAACCTGGCTTCCGCCAACTATGAGCTGACACAAAGCATTCCACGTGTCCTGGAATACTTCGGTTCTGACTTCTCCGCCACATGGGACGAAATCGCCACCTACGAAGAGAAGCTGCAGGAGATTCTCCTGGACTTTCTGAGAAGCAATGACCGTGTAACCATCCATGGCGAGCCTTCCGCCAACAAAGACCTGCGAGTTCCAGTGATAAGCTTCACCGTGAAGGGCATCAAGAGCCAAGCACTAGTTGAGGAGGTGGAGAAAAGAAGCCCTTTTGGCTTTCGCAGCGGACACATGTACAGTCATCGCTTGCTCAAGGACATCATAGGCTTGGATGACGTCGAAGATGGAGTTGTGCGGATTAGCATGCTACACTACAATACTGGTCAGTTTATACCTACTTTTAACAATGGGGTACTAACATCAGACAGAGCAAGAAATCACGTCACTTGTTGAGCTGCTGCGGGAGATCATTGCAGCGATCTAGAATCATCTAGTAGATCTTTGACAACAGAAGGGCCATTCTGACAGCTGTTGAGACAGATTACCTCCGTACCTAAATCTAGCAGGCAGCAGGCATGTAAAACCATGACATTGCTGCCTTGCCTAATAGAAAATCATATTACGAGATGCTCGTACACCTATACTACTCCACATAATACCCACTCACCTTCTATGCTGCAGTTAGCGACTGTCCTAGTTGAACCCATGAGGTTGCATGCTAGCTTTTTGAGTACACCGAGAGATTTGCTGACATGACGATCAAATCGTTCTAGCTATATTAGTGCAAGTAAACCATGTGATGTAACAGCAAGTCACCCCGCTCCTTGCTTTCACCACATTTTGTAGCTTTCCTCTGCTCAACATCTGCAGTCTGACAACTTCAGACATCACAATGGCACTCGCTTATAGCAAGGTTCCCTCGGGTACGACCGTCATCCCATCCCCTTTCCAGGTCCATGTTCCGGACGAACAAATCGAGGAGCTACAGCTGTTAGTCAAGCTGTCGAAGCTCGCACCTCCAACATACGAAGGTCTTCAGCAGGATCGTAAATATGGCATAACCAACGAATGGCTTGCCAATGCAAAGGAAGCTTGGAAGAGCTTTGACTGGTAAGATCCATCAGTTAGCTGATTTCAGCAACGCTAAAAAAAGAAAATGTAGGCGATCGGCAGAAAGCCATATCAACAGCTTCCCTCAGTTCACTTATGATATCGAGGGCCTGACCATTCACTTTGTGGCTTTATTTTCTGAGAAGAAGGATGCTATCCCTATTGTTCTTCTCCACGGCTGGCCAGGCAAGCTCACGTCGACCTTTCCATTTAGCCTATCAACTGACTCAAACCAGGCAGCTTTCTCGAGTTCCTTCCCGCTCTGACTTCAATTCGGGAGAAATATAGCCCAGAAACCTTGCCATACCATATAGTGATTCCGTCACTTCCGGGGTTCACTTTCTCATCCGGCCCTCCGCTAGATGTCAACTTCACCGGCGTTGATACGGCCCGCGTCATCAACAAAGTGATGCTCAATCTCGGTTTCGAGGATGGCTATGTGGCACAAGGTGGAGACATTGGATCAAGGATCGGTCGCATACTTGCGGTAGATCATGAATCTTGCAAAGCCGTGCATTGTAAGCTGCCAAATACCTCTTTGCTGCAGATGTTATCATCTAATCGTTATTAGTGAATGCATGCTATATGAGCAAGCCCTCCAACGTACCAGACACGGCTATTACTGAGGAAGATAAACGCGCGCTGGCTCGCGCTCAGTGGTTTGGTACCTATGGCAGTGGATATGCTCTTGAGCATGGTACTCGACCCAGCACGATTGGCAATGTGCTCTCCACAAATCCGGTGGCTCTGCTCGCCTGGTATGCACTTCCATACACCATCTATCAATCAACTAACGAGACGTGTAGGATCGGAGAGAAGTTCCTCGACTGGGCTGATGAGGCTATACCCTTGGAGACTATCCTGGAATCTGTATCACTGTACTGGTTTACTGAGACGTTCCCCCGGTCTATCTACCACTATCGGGAGGTATTTTGACTCTACCTCTGCCTATAACCTCGTAATTATACTCACCCTGACCCAGAACGTCCCGCCGCCCAAGCTGAGACAAGCCGAAGACCCCCGATGGTACATTCGCAAGCCATTTGGCTTTTCATATTATCCGAAGGAGCTTGTACCCACCCCACGCGCTTGGGTTGAGACAACCGGAAACCTGGTGTTCTGGCAAGCTCACGAGAAGGTATGCTTACCAAGTCTTGCTGGCGGCATCTGGCGGCATCTGCTGACACGCCACAGGGAGGACATTTTGCAGCGTTGGAAAGACCACAGGACTTCCTTGATGATTTGACGGCGTTCTGTGAACAAGTATGGGCTGGAAGAAAATGAGATGGTGCCACGATTACCGTGGATCGTCTATAGCATGCTCGGAAGGCTGCATCAGTCCAATAGCGATATGCGAATCAGACACTAAGGCTTGTCTCGGATGTAGTTGTATATATCGCTCATAATAGACTTCTCCATCTGAATGGACACCCATCTATTGAGTCTCCGGCATATTGTTAGCTGAGTTTTGACTACAACCGGATTGGATCCCTCTCCCACCGAAAGTCATGATGAGACAACCCTCGTGGCTTTGTCGGTACTTTTCATCAATACAAAGTTTGTGCAATCCCGTGATGGCTGGCATATCTCCGACCCTCCCTCCTTGCCTAAAAATTTTTTTTTCTTTCACATCGTGTGACCTCATCCTTCGCTCAAAGCACCACCCCTCAGAACAAGATACCAAAGCTCACCAGTCATTCATCCAGCATCCTGGCCCGTGGTACCTCGTTTAAGGGGAGTACCTCCTGTCGCCCGCATGGGCCGGCATTAGCCTGCATCCTTCATGCGAGTTCCCCAAAGAGGGGTTGCCAGTAAGGTTCTTTCCATCCCGTTCTAGACGGCGGAGCTGCTTGCTGCCTCGTCCGTAGCCTTTGACAGTCCTACAAAAGGATTTGCTATCCTGCGGGATCCGGAGAGAAGTTGTCTGCGCCGATTTGTTGTATTGTCGCCGGTTGCCAATTTAGTCTTTCGGTTGATGCGTACAACCAACACTCCGAGCGTACCGGTAGGTACTTTTTGTGACGGGCTGTTTTAAGTTGTTTGAACTTTTGACTTGGATTGCAGATAGTGTTTTCCCCTCTAGCAAGGTTTGAGGTTGGCGTCTTTAATGCAAGGCTACTAGTAGTATACTACTTAGTATTATAGTATGACTATCTCGCATTCATGGTATTACAGTTCTGACCGGGATGGTGATATTAACTTCACATCCGTTTGACAAAATATATTTTCCTGCTGTTGCCAAAGCCTGAAACATGACCGGACAGGCTTTGAAAGAGCTAAACTTTTCGCACATGCCGTCTGAGCCTAAACCGATGACACCATCCGGTCGAGACTTTTGTCTGATCGTGACTCCTCACTTCTGACCTCTACCTAACAACTATCTATCTATACAGATAGTTACTATAATCCTGACTGCCAGATGCTTCTCCAACAAACCATCAAGTCCGAGTCGGGATCAATCGGGAGGGTGGGGCTTTCCAGCGACAGCCGGGCCAACCAGCGAAGCCAGAGTGGGTAACAAAAACTCACCGGGACAGCCTGATAACCCCGCGTTCATTGGGCGGTGTGGCTCCACCCCTCTTCGGCTTTGGCTGGCCTTTTTGGAGAAGTGCAAAAGGACATTCAGGTATTTTTTTCTCTTGGTGGTCGGATTATCCCACAGCCACCCACGCCATGACTCAGTGTACGGGTTCTGCGGGTAGGGAAGGTCATGAGATTTGTCACCCCCGGCAGTCCAGCCAGCCCTTTGATGATTGATACTACGACTATCATATGGCCATCCTCTGCTGTCTGACCAATGGTCGTCTGCCTATTCTTAGAGTTCCACTACCCAGTCTACAGTACTCTGAGATTGATACCCAGCTTATTTTGTAAGCCAGACGCCGTTTGACCCCGGGGTTCTTAGTGACCCAACCTTGGGTGCATTATTTTAGTCAGTTATTGCATATGAACTATATAAACTACTTTGCATAGGGGAAGATTATCCTGGACCTTCTTAAAAGGGCAGGTGTGGAAGAACAGCGGAATCATGTGATGTGATTATGTAGTGCTTATGTATCCAGACTTATTCCTATGCACTCACCGGCTTAGTCGTGCATCATCATCGCCATCACCCACTACACTGTCTCACAATGAACGAGATGTACCCCGTAAATATCTGCTCCCATTAAGGCTGTATGACTTCGACCCATCTGACGTTCCTTACACTCACACAGAACCCTTACACAACAGTTCCGAAGATGACCCTTGACGTCTTGCTGGGTCCTCGAGGTGGATACGGCTTACTTGTTAGTCCATACCATGATGTGGTTAGTTAGGCCAGGAGTCCGTAGCCTCAGACTACCCCGGAAAGGCAAACCGTAGTAGCTTTGTTCATGATCATACAATGGGCCGCGGGACGAGAGGATTGGTTGGATATAGCATCATCTACGGAGCAACGACGGAGGCTACTACTACTAAGTCGTATTAAGTCCAAAGTGGGCGAACTAGTTAGACGGCGCTTGTCGATGGTTGCTTCACTTGTCACTGGTTCTTTTTTTCCTTCCTTTGCATCTTTGCTGCCTGGACTCACCACCCTGGTTACCTAATCTTACTGCGACCGGGGGCGGTTCCACAGCCAGTTGTTCGTCCTGGCTTCAGCAAATGGTACAGTAGCGCTCCCGTGGTCGTCGTCTGTTACTTTTTGTGCTCTCTGCATCAGGTCATGTTCATCCCCCTCAAGCGACCATGTAAGATGAGCAAAATAAGACGGGGCATAAGGGGAAAGGGGATAAGTTTAGTTGTGATAGCTGCATAGCCAGCAGGCTGTGTTTGTGCAGTGCAGTTTCAGCAGCCCCATCCAGAACACCTTTCCCCTTTCCAGACAACCAAGTCTGGGCAGAAAACAAGAATAGTAGCTAGACGCCCCAAAATGACGACGACAAAATTTTTAAGGCAGGAGACAGGAGGAGAGCAATAATCTCCTCGAGTCCAATTTTCGCCATGTATGTACGTGTCACTGCCTCAGCAGAGCTTTTTTCTTTTCCCCATTTCTGACGGTGGTGGCGTGGCTGGCAAATCCGTCCGCGGTGGTTGGCTGACCACCACCAATTTTCGCTGGGCCATTGACGGAAGCGGCAGGCCTCTCCCTCCCAATGAGAAGGGATCGTTCATTTTATGTTACACTTGGGGCCGGTGCTTATGGACCAACCTACATACATCCCTCCGTACATAGGACTACGTACATCCCTTTTTCTGTTATTTTCTTTTTTCTTTCACTAAAATCCATGACAGCCCGGTTTCATCGCTCCATCTATTGGATTATGCTTATTCTGGGATGAGACAAGACGTCAACCATCATCCATCCTTCCCTACCTAGCAGATGGAACGGGCGGCAGCTGCCTTGCAGTACAGTACAACTTCAGCTGCGTACGTCAAAAGCAGCTGCCCGTGCTGGTTTCCGCTCTAACATGTATCTCTCTTTTCACCAGCCAGGGTTGACAACCATGTAGGACAACAGCCACTGTCACTGTCATAAGCACCTAAATGCGCGCGCTGTCTCTAGGCGATAAACCGCAGATAGTCTAGTACCCGGGATCGGCTGTGCAATAGTCGCGCGGAGTGAAAAAGAGACTATCCCTCCCCCTTATCAGACTATGAGATCTAATAGTTGTTATCGGGCTCTGCGACGTCGTATTATCTATCTACATAATGACAGTTACTATCTATGTTCGATACCCTTTGGGACGGCTTCGGTAATGGCCATAACTGGAATCGGATCAGGGTGGATTTGGAATCTTAGTCATGCGACGTGAGAAAAGAAAGGCAGGAAAAGTGCCGGCGCTGTGTTGTTTGTAGGACCATGAAAAGTGACATGGGATACGAAATCTTGAGAAGTAGGCTGAAGTTGTAAGCTGTGAGTCGGCAGACTCCCGACGACCATGGGGCATGGGAAGCGAAAAGAGAAGGGAGAGGAATTTTGCCTCCAGGGCCATGAGACATGAGATGAATACTCATGAATAATGGGAATGCTGAGAGGCGAAAACCAGGAGTGGAAAGGAACCAGAGTCAAGAGTCAGAGACAAGAGCCAGAGCCAGAGCCAGAACCAGAACCAGAACCAGAACCAGTACCAGACTCCAGAACCAAAACCAGACCAAACCAAACTGAAAAGCCTCCATGCCCAACCCGGGCCCCAGAAGTTGTCCAGTACTAGTGGGCAGTCCCTATCTCGGACGGGCGTGTGAAGACTGAAGAGTCATCGTTCCTCCACTCCCATCCGCTCCCGTCCTGGTTCCGATCATCGTCTGCCTTCCCCTTCTACTTTACTTACTCCGGGCCCTCCTCCTCCTCCTCCTCCTCCCTCTCTCCTCTGCCAGCAGGGCTGACTGACTGTGACTGAGACTAGACTGGAACTTGACTCTTACTTTTGCCATCTCTTCGCTCTCTCGCCCTTCACTCACTAATATTCCTCCCCTCCCCTCCTCTCTTCCTCCCCTTCCCACACGCTTGTCATCTTCTTTCTTTCTTTCACTAGAAAGGAAGTGTGACTGAAGAGTGTAGAGTCATACTAGTTTTCCTTGTTTAATCTTGCTTCACTTTGTATCTTGGTTCCTGTTCAGTTGTTTGGCTCGTCTGCTCTTCCCGTTGCCTCTCCGCTCACCCTTTTTCGCCCGCTTTGTGAAAGACTGTGAAGCGTGGTCCCTGCATCCGCCCAAGAGTCTCAAGGCCACTTCCGCCACTCTCGCCACTGGCTGCTGCGTAAGTTAATTTCGTTCCTTTTTCTCTCTTGCTGTTTGACTCTGTGCTGCGTCGTTCCACTCGCCTCCAGCTAGCTTCAGGTTGCCATCTCTGCCTGTGATTTAGTCTGGCCGCCACCACCAGTTAGTCACTGTCTATTGCTCCGCCCCCCCATATAGTCATCGGACTCTTGGACCCTCACCGTGAGATCCGGCGTAAGAGTCATAGACGAGCGCTAAAGTGGAGAGATACTCATAAGATCGTTGCTGACTCGTTCCTTCTTCGCCTTCCAGTCTTCTTTGAGCCTCACCAACCTATTCTGTCTTCTGCCTCCGATACGACTGCTGACTGCCTGGACAAGCGCCGGTTATCTCGCCTGCTTGTTGACAGTCCGCCGCTCTATCGGCTCGTGATATAACCTCCTGCGCCTGCGCATCTCAAAATGTACCCTGTTGTTATCAAGTCTTCTGTTCCGATCACCCGTGTTGCAGACTCCTCAGATCTCCGAACCTCCGGCAAGACCGCTGCGTTTGTTTAAATAGCTTCCAGCATCTGTCATTCTAGAGGGTCACGTTGACAACATATTACGTGTCTTCTCTGGTTACGCGATATTCGGCTTGATCTATTCGGGACTCTCCAACTGGTGATCGGAACATTAGACGGTAAACCCCTTCTTCTTTTCCCGATTCCTTGACACGTACCACTACTTCACCGGCTTCCTCCTCATACCCACACCTACCGCCCGACTTCAACCCAACAGCATCATTTTATATCACGTCCGTGCTAGATGATTGTTGTTCTCTCGCTTGCCTAAACTGTCCTACTATACTATATTTTCGACAACCTGGCGAATTTTCTCTCTTAAGGGTCTGCCGTCGCCTGCGATCAAAAAGACGGTTCCTTGTCTTATCGGCTACACGTTCACGGTTCACGCACAACGGTTTATTTGAAAAAAACACACACGGTTTAAATCTACAGTCTCGTGTCATATCCGACGCATAGAAGGAAGGCTAGCTCAAGTTTGTTAGCCCTCTGGATGACCATTTGAGGTACTTTCGGACCTTTTCTTTTTATTTTGTCAAAAAGTATCAAGGTCGCTCGACTGGACATCATCCCGGATATGTCAGGGATTGACATTTTGGGTTTGAAGGATCCAAACCCGAACAGCCAAATCCGAACGGCTTATGCGCACCCGTATGCATCCTCGGTCTCTTCCTCCGCCTCTTCCTCGTCCTCTTCGGTCTTCTCGCTAGATGGCCTGTCCACCCAGAGCTCCATCTCCTCAACCGCGACGAACCCGGTTGATGTGATCTGGGAGAATGAAGGCGAATACCAGGCTGGGGGAAGAGCACTTGCTGCTGCAAACGGTGCGCGCGGTTACCTAAGGGGCGTGGTCCCGAAGGCAACTGATCCTGCTATTCCGCCCGAGTTACGTAAGCATCCGCGGCGGACCAACAGTTCATGCACGCGGCCTCCGCCGTGTCTTTTGAGACAATCGGAACGGAAGGTCAACTTTGTCGATAATCTTGTCGGTAAGTCTGGGGAGCTGTCCGTTTATTATGATGTGGTTGAGGTTCAGAACTAAGTACACCGTGTGAAGACACCGCGTCGCAGATTGTTGAGGTCATTTGGCCCTTGTCGGCTGTCTCGCTGCGGAGTGATTCGGCGACTGGATGCAAAGGCGTCTTGCCTCTGCGGACATTCATCCAGGAGACACTCCGCCGCTCCCGCACCAGCTATAGTACCCTCCAGGTGGCGCTTTACTATCTCATCAAGATTAAGCCCCACGTGCCGAGCCATGAGGCGACTCAGGACCAGGCCCGGGGCAAGCCCGTCTGCCGGGCTATGCAGTGTGGGCGGCGCATGTTTCTTGCAGCGCTAATCCTCGCATCCAAGTATCTCCAAGATCGCAACTATTCCGCTCGCGCTTGGAGTAAGATCTCCGGTTTGAACACGGCCGAGATCAACCAGAACGAACTGATGTTTCTGGAAGCGGTTAACTGGCGACTCCATATCCCCGAGTCTCTTTTTCAGCGCTGGACTGACATTGTACTGAAGTACACTCCTGGTGCTGGTAACATGGCTTTTGGGGATGGGCAATGTTGGCGTACGATCATCCCGAAGCTCACGCCTGACCTAGAGGAATTTGACGCCAGCCCCGCGACACCTACCATGCAGTCTTTTGGCTCCCGCTCGGTGTCGGACTCGCCATCCCCTCGGGGCACATCGTTCAAGAGGGATCTTCCCGGCCAAGCAACAAACGAGCCCGTCAGCCTGCCCTCCATCCATGAGCAAATCGCTGCATGCGGGCGTCAAGCGCTGGAGTCGGTGACTCGTAAAGAGACCACACTTCCCTCTCTCCCGTCATTGCCGCCCATGCCGCGGCCGGCTATGCTGCCGACACCGCAGATGACGCCTCAAGCGAGCATCGCCTCCACTCCTGCAGTGAGTGCTGGCGGTATGCCTGCGCACCGCCGTTACATGCAAACTGCTATGTCCCAGGCGCAAAACATGTGCACGGCGCGGTCGATCTACGACCAGCGCCCGTCACTACAGTTTTGCCCTCGGGCTAACACGTTTGATGGGTACCCTAACTTGGTGCGCCGGTCCTCTCTGGCCCGCTCGGCTTCCTCTGCGTCATCTCCGGATTCGATGATCTCGGATGTGTCAAGCATGTCGTCGCAGTCATCGCGATCGTCATCTATGTCCTCCAGCTCTTCAACTGGTGTGTCTGCTATGCCTCGCCTGGCTGTTCAGGCCACGCTCCGATGCACTGGCAACTCCCTCAAGGAGTGCCGCAAGAATCTGGCCATCGCATCGCCCATCGATGAGGGCGCACTCGGAGATATCTACAGCTCGCCTGAGACTTATGGCGGTCCTCTTGGCCAGGTTCCGGATATGTCCGGCTACTCGCTGGAGCCCCCGGTGGACCTGTCTTCTGCTCACGAGGCAGCACAGAGTCTTTGTGCTCTTTCTGGTGCTGTTCCTCGCGCTCAGCAAACGATCGAGCAACAGAACGTTGGTCAGCGTGTGTGTCGCAAACGCGGCCGCACCGGATCCGAGGACATGCTGCACGGTCAAATCCGTCATCTCGTCAAGTCCAAAACCTTTGCTGAAGGCACTGTACTACCTGATGGGAACATGGCGGATCTGTTCCTGAACCCCGAGGCCCGCCGCACGCAAACTCTCACCGCTTCTCAGCTGAGTGCATTGAACTACAACGTTCCGCTCTCGGGCCCCGTTGGCATGAAGCGTGCCTGCTGCGGGAGCGAAGCCAGGAAGATTGCGCTCAACCCAAGCATGCGGGCTGACTACTAGGTCTCCCAGATATCTGGACTCATTCATTTATCATTTCCTTTCCTTTGCGGAAAAGTGTTTACATTCATACCAATAATTCTATTCTGACCAATCTGGTCTGGTTGCAACAGCAGCAGAAGAGACGCAGACCGGTAGGGAAAAGTTTTGTGCGAACTTTCTCAGGTGATTCACGCGTTCGGGGAAAGCAAAAGTCGTCTTTGTATATACCCTGCAGCTGTTGTCGATTCGGGGAGGCTACTTGTACAGTAGTACTGCTATGGCAGACTGCTGGTGTATGATGTACGTTGGGGAGGTTTGTTGCTATCTTTTACTATTTTTCTGTGCACATTTGCCATATCTATCGTTATTTATTTCTGTCTGTCATTGCGGCACTGGAGTGTGGTGGGAACGGTCGGGTCTACTTCTTTCACTTGTTTTCGCCTGCATTATTCTGACATCTGACTACATGGGTTGCGAAGGGCGAGGGAACGCATTATACTATTACTGCGGAGTTACTGGCAAACGAAGGATTCTGCTCGATTTTAGGACCAATCCTCTACACGAGGATAAGCAATACGAAGATGTTGTGAGAGACGATGTTCCGTGACTATTTTGTCTGATCACCCCACTTCCATGGGTACATTGTAGAACATAGGACAGCCCGTCCGTGAACGGAGTCTGTGCATCCGGACGGAGGCACTTCGGCGATCAACTCGCGCCACTATGACTCACCGCAACTATGATGGCGGAAGTGGTGGTCAGCCGGTGATGGAGATAGCATCGAGCATCCACGGTCGGGGCGTTTCCGGTGAGTCACACGGTGGCCTCAGGCAGGCGCCGAAGTCGGACAAGGCCGGAATCACCGGATGCGACCGGAAAGTCAGCTGCCGACCGTTAGAGTCACATGGAGCTACTAACCGGAAGTAATCTAGCGTGGATCAGATAAGATCAGATCGTGACCTTCCCCTCACGGTGACACCACTTCCTTGCTGGTATCCCGTTATCCCTCTGCCATCCCTTATTCTTTTTTCCTTATCTCTTATCCATCCTTTTATCCCTTCATCGCAGAAGCAAATTCTACCTTTCATCTATAGGACAGCCATCCACAACACCACGATGATGGCCCGTCCACTCATCACCACGTTCTTCTCCGCACTCGTCCTCCTAACCCACCTCCTCCACGTCAGTGCCAGCCCTCTATCCGAACAAGCTCCTCTCACCGACACCGACACCACCACCTACGACACACACTACAACCTCGACACCGACACCCTCACCCTCACCACCAACACTGCCCCCCCATCCTGGTTCACCTCAACCCTCCTCGCCCGGCGCCTCCTCGCCCTCTCCCGCACCGGCACCGCCTCAACCATCTTCCCCTCCCCCCTCCCCCCAAACTCGCACACCCCGCCCTCCCTAGCCGGCCACTCCACAACCCAAACCGAATACCTCGCCGACTGCGACCCCCACCTCCCGGCCAACGACACCTCCTCCGAATCCCCCAGGGGACTCGGCAACCCGACCTTCCTCGCCCTGCACGTAGCCACCACCTTCCGCAACACCGCCGCGGGGTCCAACATCTCCCTCTCCCTCGACTGGTGGGACCACGTCAACGACACGTCCCCGCTCTGGCCGGGCTTCCCCCTCAGCGAGGCCGGATTACCCCGCGTCACGCTGTTCGGGTACGTCGAGCCGTTTGAGACGCCTGTGCCGGAGGCTGTGGAGGCCGCGCTGCGGAAGTGTTTCCTTGAGAAACATCCTGATGCGGAGGCGTGGTTGCCTGGGAGAAAGGGCGCCCCGCATAGTAGTTATTGGGCTAGGTTGAGGGTCGAGCAGGTTTATTGGATTGGAGGGTTTGGCGGGTTGCAGAGGATTGGGTGGTTGAATGTTAGTGAGTGGAGGGGTGTGACGGAGTGGGGGAGTGGTGGGGGTGGTGGTGGGGGGTTTGGGGATGGGAGTGGGAGGGGGTGGGGGGATGTGAGGTTGCCGGGGGAGGAGGAGTAAGCTGTTAGTAGTTAGCTGTTAGCTGTATAGGAGGGGAGGGTGGTCATGGTGATCGGATGAATGACGATGGTTGATAAGGACTATATGGAGATGATGATATGAGATACGAGAAAGGAGTGAAGATGACGATCAGTGTCTATGAGCAGCTACGAATGATAAGGGTAGTATGGATAACATCATTGATGGAACATGGATATAAGTTGATACGGGTTTATCTTGATCCTACAAGTACTATAATCAGTGACCTGCATGTCACTCAAAGCAGGTTACATCTCGAATCACTTCCCCCCAGACCAGACCATTCTCCAAAGCAGCGAGTGTCTCGGAATCAATCCACGTGGGTATTATACCACAACCATCACGATCTCTTTATCCATGTGTTCTCTTTCCCAACCACCCACCAACCCACCGCCTCAGGCCTACTGTGACACTGCTATCCATCCATAAACAGCCATCTTAAGAGCCATCATCCAAGAAGAGAGCTCAGCTCAAGCAGTGTCTGGTATTCAGCTATGGAATTGCAAGACAACTGTGCCCAGGCAATGTCCATAACCATCTAGGCGGCATATCAGGATATCAATCCAGTTAGAAAGATGGATTGGTACAAGCCATCCCCCATACCAACCCCAGCGATGAGCTCTACCAGCATTTGTCAAGGGCAGGAGTATTCAGACTATCTTCCGAGTAAAAGATTCAGTAGTGATTATAATGGATGAAAGTCATCCAGGATAGTTCAGCCAGTGTCTGGAAAGGGGCGTTACCAGTATCACCCACACCACAGCGTATCCAGTATTTCAGCCAGTGATGGTGTTATTACCAGCTTACTGCCCAGAATCATTCAGGCAAAGCCTGAGAAAGGAGCTCGAGGAGTGTTCCCAACCGATAGGATTATCTACTATCGAGAAGTGTGCGAAGGCCTATCGTTGATAACGTTGTGAAAGGCGGAATCGGTCATTTCGTAGTAGATGGTATAGTTGCCGGTTCTTGAAAGAATATATCATTCTCCATGGTCACTTGTCTTTATTAGATGAAGCGAGGAGTGAAAGGCTGTTTTTGAGCTTGAAGCTTCAAGGTCCTTGTGACTTGTGACGCATGTTGGTGGTAACAAGTAGCCATCATATACCCATCAGTGTTGGAAAGGGACTTGACTGGCAGCACTGCATTGCTGGCTGTATGTAGCGCATCAAGTATATTACCCCAGTGAGGGATTTATATGTAGATAAACTCGACCCGACTTGGAAGAAGGGAAAAAGGAAAGTAAACCCAACCCCAGAAAGCGAACCAGTATCCTGTATGTACGCTGTATCAGGATCTCATAACTGGTCGTTACCACCATTTCCCAGTAGATCCATAAGCCAGAGAACGATCCAGGACAGAATTGATATTCTTCTCAGTGTCTGTCTGGGTGGGTTTTTCTGACTTGTATCTTGTTTATTGGGATTTAACCTTAGACAAGAGAGTTGCGTGGTATCGTGGTTGAGAGGAAGCCATTGTGAACATGATTGTTCAAGGTGGTTGTTACTGGCACCGTTACTTGCATCCCCCGGTAGAAAAGCCAGAGTTCCATCAGGGAGTATTGTCGAGGCTTATCTCTCTTTTCCACCTTTGAGTTCCGGACGAAGTGGAATCCTGTTGGAAAGAAGCCAATGTCTGGGTTCTTCTAATATTCCAGTGTATATAACTCCTGAAGCCAACAGGAGTAAAGTTGATGTTGTCTTCGTTGTCTTGACGGGTCATTCGAATTGCCCTTGACTGGTGTCTTATGTTATCCAGACGGAACTGACGATTAGGAGACAGAATTTGATGGTCACGACAACCAAGCATGGAAACACCATGCAGCTGGCTTCATGGATTGTCTCTGAGATTCGTTCGATATAGAATGATATAGTTCATTCTAGCCAAGGCAACCTGCATCGTCTGTAGCGCTAGTAGGAATTAGGAACAACACTAGTGCCGACACGGTTGCTTTGTATGTTTCTTCTAGTTGACGGAATTCCATTAGTAGATTCAGCTGGCGTCTGCAAATTGCTTGACTATATCTTTCCATATTGCAGGTCGTTTCTGCATATCAGCTGGTTTGGCTATTTCACTTGGAGAATATGAACCGCCAATTGACGGAGTCAGGAAGACAGTTCAATGTTCCATGCCCAACCCATCATGGCTCTCTTGTTCCGAATACTGCCAGTAAGAATCCATCTTTGAGCCGTAGACGTTGAAAGTTGCAGCATTTTTAGTCGCAACATCCACCCACTTACTAGCTTCGTAGGAGAGTAGCTGCACAGTCCGAAACATTCGGAATCATCTTCCTGCTGAAATAACCAAGTTGGCAGCCTGGTCAGCGATGGAACCTGTTCGATCTGAGAATGTGGTAATGCCTGTGGTGCGCCCAAGGTGTAAGATGTACCAAGTTGAGATTTGGTTCGAGATGATGGAAGGAAATAAACCAAGGCATACATTGTATGAACTGCTTTTCCTGATTTGTCTTTGTTGACCTCAGTTGATTTCCGGACTGGAAAAAAAGCATTCGTCACTTCTCCATTCTGCCAGAGACACGGACCAACCAAGAGCTTTGCCGTCTGGCTTGCCGGTTTCGTTGGCTCTGACCGAGCTTTTAGAGAGTAGTCGGAGCTATGGAGGCTTCAGGACTTCAAATGCGTCGACTTCCAGCTAGTCTTGAAGTAACTGGTCATTGTAGAGGAGGTTTGTCTATGACAGATCCTCCTTGAAGCTTTTCTCTCTTTTGTCCAGGAGTCCAGGGATCCCTGAAAAGTAGCTCTTGGGGACCGAATGTCGTGTTCTTTCGAAGTGCCATGATTTGACCCATGATTCTTTTCCCTCTTTACTATGAATGCTTTCTGTCACGCTGCTGGATGTTTCAATTGTATCAGACTGTTCATGTCCATTTTCAATTTTACCACCGCCTTGGAAAGACCGCTTGCTTGCAGTAGTTGGCATGCCGATATGAGGAGGTTCAGAAGATAAATGCGTGGTTTCAACAGAGACAAGAGAGGCTTTATATGGTCAAGACGACATAAGATGAGACCTGAGGTGGTATAAGTAGCGCGGTAGTCATCGTTCGACTCGCTATCTGGACAGAGCGCGTCACTGTCCCAACTGGTGTACACGACCTGCTTCATGCCTCTGTGAGCTAGTTGGAGAAAGAAAGAGTACCGAAATTGTGCCCATATATCTGGACACTAATAAGCGGAGATGGTACTGCGAATAGCGAGGATTATCACCCGGAGGACATGAAACAGCATTTTGCAGTGCACAGCAATGCCTCTATTTGTTGGGCAATCTTGAAAGTGTTTAGAGACCACATTCAAGCTGAGGTGTAGATTACCAGACATGCCTGGGGAGATTCAAAAAGGCGGAAGTTTGATCGTCCCACTTCAATCGCTGGAGAATGCGTACACTCGTACCCGCGTACCCGCGGAGGAGCCCAGATCTCGTAGTGTTGGAGTATTTCGATCATGGCATATTGGTCGCTGGTAGGACCTAATAGGAGCAAAGCTTGCTACAGTAGACCCTCCGTACCTTGCTTTATATGAAGCAGCGCCTTTGCCTCTTTTCAAAGTCCTGACCGGTAAGATGTCATATATGATATTGATTTGTTTCTGACAATTCACGTTCATTCTGAACAGGATTGCTCTTGGCATGTTCTATGAGATGAACGTGTCCTCATTCCAACATCGACAGTGGCTGATGCATTTCGTCGTTTATATCTGGATGGAGTATTCAACAACAAGTATGAGCCATTGCTTTGGACTTTGGGTTTAGGCACCATGCTTTCATGCAGCTTCATTTCGTTAGATGTTGCCTTGTCGCTTATGTCTTGGCCGACCACATCATAAATGGATTGTGGCCTTTGATGGAGACGTTCGGAAGATTGAAAGCCAATCAGTACTACGTAGTCACTCGTAGCAGGAAATTTCACTGCTTTGCGTTGTTGGCTTGTTGTTGTGTTCTGGAGTGAACCGCCTTGGGAGTACACAGCGTAGCCACATACCTACGCAGGCTTTTCGGTGTTGACGCATTTCGAAGTAGCAGAGCATATCGGTACTCTATAGTCGAGTGTGGCAGTTAAGTAGACTCCTATATGTCTTTGGATTGCTTGTTCGTGTGGGGTAAAGTGCAGGCCGCATTTGGAGTGGATGTCCCAGGAGCACGAAGCGTAGCCACGTAGCCACGGGGCTCTTTCTCTGTAATGGCTCATTCCGAAGTAGCAGAGTTTATCATTTCTGGATAGATCGTAGCAGGGATTCTGACTTTCGCGTCGATGGATTGTTGTCCTGTTCTGGAGTGGAAGCCGCCCAGGAGCACGCAGCATGCCACGTATCCACGCGGGTCCCTGTATGAAGCCTGGGGACGGAAATATTCGTAACTTAATTTGCCATGGATGTATAAAGCCGAGTATTATGGTGATGGTCCCTATGCGAGGGCACAAAGTTGGCTAAAGCTTTGTCTAACTTTGCCATTTTCCATTGACAGATTTCATCAATCCCTGTGCCCACTCGATGGTGCTTCAATGTGCCTGTGGCCCTGTCCTCATGGGATAGCGCGATGAATGTCTGAGTACGCCATAGAGGTTGTGAGCTTCAGCATGGTATGGATTTCATACTGTCCGAGTTATGTTTCTGGCCATCTCCAGTGCCTCAGTCACCCGACTATTCGGTAAAGCACATCCATTCCCTCTGAGACACCCGTATAGTTTGGATGCTGATCCCTGTACAATGGCATTGTCGTCCGCCGCGAGCAGTCTATCTGGAGGCTGGTTACCTCGCTGGAAATTGGGAAACCGATTCCTGTTGGGTAAAGCCTGCACCCACTGAGGGTATAGGCATGGTGTTATAGTCGTGAGGGGAACATATGACTTCAGTGGACTATAGCCGATACCTTCCCTTGTTGCAAGCGAATGTTAAGACCGACGGAGAGTGTGCCTTTGAGTTTTGCATCCCGACTAATGGCTTCACACTGCAACAGCCGCTAATGCGTGGTCTTGCTTCCACGAACGTTCTTCGGCCGTCTCGTTTCTCTGTAATCCATCGAACACCGGAAGCAGACAAATGCCGGTTACTCGACATCATCTATATATCGTTTGGGGTTGCTGTCCTCTTATGCAAAGTGCC